AAAAATAAGAGAGGATTTACTGAAAGTAAACAGAAGAAGAAATGAAATGATAAATGTCAAAGTGAAAAACCATTCAATAGACTATAGAAAAGCAAGAGATAAAATCAAGGAAACTAAAAGCTGGGCATGTGAGAGGATCAATAAAACAGATAAATTTCCAGGAAAACTGATCAGGTAGGAAAAAGAAAGACATAAACCACCAACATTTTGAATAAGAAAATGGGCATACGGACAGTTTCCATATGTATTAAAAAGAATAGAAACAGAACTCTAGGTTTTTTATTTGTTTGTTTTTAGCCAATGATTTGAACAACTTAGATGAAATGTAAAAGTTCCTGGAAATAAACAAATTACCAAAGTTTACGCAAGAAGATATAGATAACATGGGTATCCCTATATCTATCTAAAAATTTAAATCATAGATTTAAAAAACACATATACTGCCTTCTTTGGTGAATTCTAGCAAACATTTAGGACAATGTCTTTATTGATGAATTCTAGCAAAAATTTAAGGAAGAAATACTACTAATTTTACAATAACTCTCACAAACAATTAGAACGGGTATACTTCGCAACTAATTCCATGAGGTTAGCATTACCCTGATACTAGATGCAGTCAAAACATATAAAGAAAGAAAATTAAAAATGAATATCCCACATGAACCTGGATTCTAACATATTCTAAATAAACTTTTACCAAATTGAATCTAAAAACATATAAGAGTAATAATGTATCGTAACTAAATGGGTTTACCCAAAAAAATGTAGATTTGGCTTAATATTTGTAAATAAAAGTTTAATTAACCATATTAACAAGCTTAACAAAGAAAAAAAATGTGATCATCATAGTAGATTCAGAAAAGAATCCCTGATTTAAAATGAACAAACAAAAAAAAACTGACAATAGAAAGGAACTTCCTCAACCTGAAGAATATATGTGTAAATCCTACAGCTAACATTACGCTTAATATTAGAACACTGAACGTTCTCTACCCTGAGATCAGGAACAAGAAAAGGATTTCTCTTGTCATCACTTCTATTCTAAATTATACTAGTAGCTATAGCCAGTACAAGTAAACACAAAGAAAAATAAATAAACAAATAAAGGAACCCCACTGAAAAGGAAAAAAAAAATCAATAAAAAGGTAGAAAGTGATCAGATTGGATCTTTCAATAACGTGATTCTTTACATAGAAAATCTGATAAAATCTACAAAACTCTGCTGGAATTAATACCTGATTTAGCAAGTTTGAAATATACAAGAGCAATATTTAAAATTGAATTATAATCCTAACTTGCTGGTAATCAACAAACATAAACTGAAATTATAAAATTTATGTAATTTACAGCAGCATGAAATACATTAAATACTATGAACTAACTTGGAGGGGAGGAGGTGTGAAATTCGCGTACACTAAAAACCATTAAACAAAGCTGAGAGACATTATAGAGGTGCTAAATAATTGGAGAGATAAACCATGTTAGTGGGTTGGAGATCTCAACATTGTTAAAATGTCAGGTGGTATTTATTTTCAAACTGATGTACAAATTCAACTGAATCCCAACAAAAATTCCAATACCTTTTCTCGTTGAAAAGGCAAACAGTTTCTAAAATTCATATGGGAATTAACCAAAAAAAAAAAAAAAAAAACCACTAAAATAGCCAAAATAGATATTTTTATTTTTATTCTTTTTTTTTTAATTGTGCTTCGGGTGAAGGCTTACAGAACAAATAGTTTGTCATGAAACAGTAGTATACATATTGTTTTATGACATTGGTTAACAACCCCACAACATGTCACCCCTCTAACTTCTCAACCTTTTATTTTGGTGAAAATACACATAGCCAAAGATACATCATTTCAAAAATTTCTACATGCACAGTTCAGTGACATTGACTATGCTCTTCCAATTGTGCTGCTATTCTCACTTAAGATGAAGGCTTACAGAACAAAATAGTTTCTCATTTAACAGTTACTACATGTTACCTATGACAATGGTTAACAATCTCACAACACATCAACAATATCCTTACTCAACCTTGGGTTCCCTATCACCAGCTTCCTTGTCCCCTTCTGCCTTCTGGCCCTTGTCACTGAACTCCTGTACCTCGTTAGTCTCATTTGGTTTTACAGGGTTGTCCACTCCCAGGCTGAACAGTGAACCTCGGAGATAACTTCACCACTGAGCTAAAAGGGTGTCTGGGGGCCATACACTCGGGGTTTCTCTAGTCTCCTTTAGGCCAGTAAATCTGGTCTTTTTTTTGTGAGTTACAATTATGCTCTACATCCTTCTCCAGCTCTGTCCAGAACCCTCTGTTGTGATCCCGGTCAGAGCAGTCAGTGGTGGTAGCCGGGCACCATCTAGCTGTACTGGACTCAGTCTGGTGGAGGCCTGGGTAGCTGTGGACCATTAGTCCTTCGGACTAATCTTTTCCTTGTATCCTGTTCTCCTCATTCTCCCTTGCTCCCGAAGGGAAGAGACCAGTGGAATATGTTAGATGGCCGCTCACAGGCTTTTAAGACCCCAGACACTACTCACCATGGTAGAATGTAGAACACTGTCTTTATAAACTGTATTATGCCAGTTGAGCTAGATGTTCCCTGAGACCATGGTCCCCACAGCCCTCTGCCCAGCAATTCATTCCCTCAGGGAGTTTGGATGTGTCTATGGGGCTTCCATGACCTTTCCTTGTACAAGTTGTGCTAGTTTCCCCTGTATTGTGTACTGTCTCACCCTTCACCCAAGATACCAGTTATCTATTGCCTATTTAGTATTTCCCCCCCACCCCTCCCATCCCTGGTAACCAACAAAGATTGTTACATTCTGTGTGTGAACTTTTTCATGGGTTTTTACAATAGAGGTCTCATACGATGTTTGTCCTTTTGTGATTGGCTTATTCCACTCAGCATAATGTCCTCCAGTTTCATCTATGTTATGAGATGCTTCACAGATTCATTGTTGTTCTTTCTCGTTGCATAGTACTTCATTGTGTGTATGTACCATAGTTTGTTTAACCATTCATCTGTTGATGGGCACAAAATAGATTTTTAAAAAAGAAAAAAGTTGAAAGAGGTACATTGTCTAATTTAAAGGCTTATAAAATTATAGCAATCAAGACAGTTGGGTACTGGTATAAAGACTGATAAATATATCAGTGGAGGACAATAAAAAGTTCATAAATAGGTCCACATATACATGGGCAACTGACTTTTTACAAAGGCGTAATGGCAAGTCAATGGCTAAAGGACAGTCTTTTCAAGGAATGGTTCTGAATATGCAAAAAAAAATTTTTATCTAGACCTCGAAACACATAACAAATTAACTCAAATAATCATAGACCTAAATTTTTATCTGTTGTTGTTATGTGCCCTTGAGTAAGTTCTAACGCATAGTGATCTTGGTATAACAGAACAAAATGTTGCCCAGGCCTGAGCCATCTTCACAATTGTTGTTTGCTTGAGCCCATCGTTGGAGCCACTGTGTCAATCCATCTCACAGGAAGTCTTCCTCTTTTTCACTGTCGGTCTACCCAGCATGATATCCTTCTCCAGGGATTAGTCCCCCCTGATAACATGTGCAAAGTAAGTGAGACAAAGTCTTGCCATTCTTGCTTCTAAGCAGCATTCTGGCTATACTTCTTCCAAGACAGATTTGTTCATTTTTCTGGCAGTCCATGGTATATTCAATATTCTTCACCAACACCATAATTCAAAGGCATCAGTTCTTCTTCAGTCTTCCTTATTCATTGTCCAGCCTTTACATGCGTACGAGGCAATTGAAAATACCAAGACTTGGTTCAGGCGCACTTTATTCCTCAAAGTGACATCTTAGCTTTTTAACACTTTAAAGAGATGTTTTGCAGCTAATTTCCCCAATTCAATACATCCTTTGATTTCTTGATTGCTGCCTCCATGGGCACTGATTGTGGATCCAAGTAAAATGAAATCCTTGAAAATTTCAATCTTTTCTCCATTTAACACAAAGTTGCTTATAGGTTCAGTTGTGAGGATTTTTTTTTTCTTTATGTTAAGGTGTAATTCATACTGAAGGCTATAGTCTTTGATTTTCATCAATAAGTGCTTCAAGTCCTCTTCACTTTCAGCAAACAAGGTTGTGTCATCTGCATACCACAGGTCGTTAATGAGTCTTCCTCCAAATCTAATGTCTTGTTCTTCTTCATATAGCCCAGATTACTGGATTATTTGTTCAGCACACAGATTTACACCTAAAACTATAATACTTGTAGTAGAAAACTTTTTGACTTAGAGTTGGCAAAGATTTTTTAGATAGGACAATGGAAAAAATGATTTATAAATAAATAAATTGGATATAATTAAACTTTAAACTTCTGCTCATTTAAGAACATTCTTAATTCAAAGGTAAGCCAGTGCCTAGGAGAAAATACATGCAAATCATATATCTCATAACAGGCATGTATTCAAAAGACATGTAGGATTCTCAGACCTCAATAGTAAGAATATTAACAATTTGATGAAAAATAATGAGCAGATGATTTGAACAGATACTTCACCAAAGATGCAAAGATGAAAAATAAACAACTTAAAAGATAGTCAACATCATGTCATTTATGAAATGTAATTTAAAACTGCAATGACATATCACCACACTTTTATAAGAATGACTAAAATAAAAAAGACAGATTATACCAAAAGTTAATGAGGATATGGAAGATATGAAATTCTCACAAGCTGATTGTAGACATGTGAGATGAAAGAAGAACTTTGAAGAAGAGTATTGCCATCTGTATCTGTTCAATCACCTGTTTTTCCAGCCTAAAACACTTTATTCGCATAAGTTCTAGATTTATGTTTGTTGTTGGACGTACAAATATAATTAAAATACACTCTATCTTCTAGATCACATACTTCAGTAGACTAAAAAGCTCATGAATGTCAGATTTTAAAAACATAGTCCATTTAGTAGCAGTGATTTGCAGAGAAGTTCAGGATGATCTATGAAATCCACATCCTCAATAATCACAAAGAGAGCTTCTGCCTGCTCCTTCTCAGAGCTTGCTTGACATCTTTGTTCCTCAGGCTGTATACCAGGGGGTTCAACATTGGGATGACGACAGTGTAAAAGATGGACACTACTTTACTCTGCTCCATGGTGAAGATAGCACTGGGTTGTGCATACATGAAGAAAACAGTACCAAAAAACAAGCATACCCCAGTCAGGTGGGAGACACACGTAGAGAAAGCTTTTTGGCGTCCCTGCACAGTACGGATCTTCACAATCGCCAATATGATGCAGACGTATGAGACCAAAACAATCAAAAATGTACTGACAATAATGGAGCCACATAAACCAAGAAGAACCAATTGGTTTATAAATGTATCTGAGCAAGAAAGCAACAAGAGTGGAGGTACGTCACAGAAAAAGTCATTGATCTTATTGGACCCACAAAAGGGCAATCTGAAAGTCATCATTGTTTGAGTGACGGCATTCACAACACCCCACAAGCAGGACCCCACCACTAAAAGTACACAGACCTGGTGGGACATACTTACAGAGTATAGCAGAGGGTTACAGATGGCAATGTAGCGGTCATAGGCCATAGCAGCCAGAAGGAAGCTCTCCGTGGTACCGAAAAGAGACAGGAAGAAAAACTGAGCAGCACATCCACCGAAGGAAACTGTGTGGTCTTCTTGCAAGAAGTTCATCAGAGCACGAGGTGCAGTTGTGGAAGAATAGCAGATGTCCAACACGGAAAGGCTTTGGAGAAAGGCATACATCGGGGTGTGGAGGTGGGAGTCTGCCCTGATAATTACAATAATGCCAAAGTTCCCAATCACAGCAAAAACATACAAGATAAAAAAAATCAGAAATAGTATTGTCTGCATCCCTGGACTCCCTCCAAATCCAAGTAGAGCAAACGTTGAGACAGTTGAAAAATTCATCATTGTTTAAGTAAAGCAAAAACAGAGAGAGAAGAAGAAGAAGAAGGAGAAAGAGCAGAAGGAGAAGAGGAGAAGAAGAAGAAGAAAAGAGAGGGAGAAAGTGAGGAAGTGAAGAGAAAGAAAACTGTTGCCAATCAATATTATTTAATGCTTAAAAGCATTAAATCAAGTTTGAGATCTTCAGGAGGCATTGACGGTGTTCCGTCTGTGATCCTGGGTACAATGTCTGGGAAGTATGCATTCATGTCCTGTGAAATGGTAAAGTTTATGCTACAAGGGAAATAAATCAGAAATAAGTAACTACTCACACAAGAAAGTCTGCATCTATAAATGTATCACTATATTTTTCAACTCTAATCTCACCAATAAAACATGGAAAAGGCATCTATGATGTATTTAGAGGCATATCTTCACTTCACATTCCTGGTTTGTTTGTTTGTTTGTTTTTAATTCAAGTAAATCTCCAAATCAGAGGACAAAGATGGACATGAGAACACTCAATGTGTAGCTATTGAGTTAGTTTTGCATTATAAGAATTGTTATTCTTGGCTGGGAATAGGATGAGGACCGGCAAATCAACTGATTATGTGTGTAAAATCTATTCATTCTCACTGTTTCCTCATACTTTCTGTATTAGTTTCCCATTGCAGCTGTAGCAGATTACTACAAATTTAATGGGATAACATTATAAAGAAAACATAATGTATTTAATTAGTGTACTTTAAAATTACTTGACTTATAAATAAGTAAGGATCCAATCGCAGGGTGTGAATTCCATTCACATAAAATAAAGCACTGACTGGATCAGTGTTTGAGAGGAATATTTATAATTACTAGAGTAATGATATGACTCGACTATTGTTGATCTTTACAGCTAGCCATGAAAAAGCACGCGATTAAAATTAAAGAAATGAAGAAAAAGAGCTGAAACATGCAAGCCATCATTTCGAAATGTGTGTGAATATTTGTGCATTTTTCATTTGTAAATTTACTGAAACTCTGTTTGTTACCCTGTACAAAGTGGAAATAAACATATGGGAAAAATTAAATAATATTATGACAGCTTTTACACAAAGTAAATGCAAAGTACACTGAATTGATTTTCTTTTCTTATGAACTCTACCCTTGTTCTCTTAAAATTTATACCACTAACATTCATTACCAAACCTCAATTCTCCAGCTCTTCAGACAGTCATTTGACACTTGTTTTGACTTTTTTTCATTTCGTCAATAACGTCTCCCATATATAAATGTGAGGGTATTTTCTGGTTGGTTGTTTTTACATAAGTTGCAGCTCCAAGGATAGGAAAGACTATAATATTTACTTCACTACTCTAACTTGAACAAGTAGATGTAGCACTTGGCCGAGAGTAAGGACTCACATAAATATTCTGAATGATGCCTCTTTATACCGTATACTGGATGTGTTTGATTACATCTAAATTTCATAGTGGGCACAGTATAACATAACTCCTTATTTCGAATATTAATTTTAAAGCATAAGGAACCTATGTCTTGACTGAAATGAATCAAATCACAAAGCCATTCCAATATTAAAAAACAAGAACAAAAACAAAAACCAGTTGTTGTTACATTGATTCCTATTCACCGAGACACCATGTGTGCAAAATAGAACTGAGCCCCATAGGGTTTTCAATGGCTGATTTTTTGGAAGCAGATAGCCAGCCCTTTCTTCTGAGTCACTTGTGGGTGGGTTCCAACTGCAAAACTTTTGGTTAGCAGCCAAGCGCTTAACCATTTTGCGCCACCCAGACTATTCCAATATTACAGGAAGGCAAAGCAAGTCATTTTCATGTAAAATAGTAGTCATTATTTTAAAATTATTACATATATGCCCATTAATACGTACTATTGTATTCTGTTGAGCTTAAATAAAACAATCAGGTTATAGATATTATTTTCTCTTAGAAGGAGGAAAAAGGTAGCTAAGACATAAATGTTCTTGTGAATAAATGAGCCAATAAATGTTATTGTCTCACTAAAGGCCGTTACTTCTGGAAGAGTTAGTGCCACAGAATCTCATATGAGGAAAGAATTCCCACCAAAAAAAAAAAAACAGAATATAATTATGAATGACATATTTTTGTCATTTATTAATAACATAGATAAATTACATATCAGATAAATTTACAGTCTTGGATCCAAAGGTTTTTGGTGCTTTTTGAGATGCGGTATTTATAGTTGCACTCTAACAGATTGATACATAAAATAACAGATCACAAACCCAATTCCAAAAATAATAGCTAACATTTATTGAACAATGATTATAAGCTACTCAATCAAAAAAAAAAAAAAAAAAACTCTTCTAATTGGCTTTATTTTATTTAACACCCACAAAAGCCCCACGTGCTAATATTAGGAAGTTTTACAGAGGGGCGTTAAGAACTGTGCCATGGTCTCCCACCAGGAAGGGGCCAGCTTTTCAACCTGACTCTGGGGACTATTCTCTTGGCCCCCAACATTGACAGTCATTATGCCATGTGTTGTTTTGTTATAGATTTTTTACTACATTATTACCTTTCGGTCCAAAACATTATCTTTAATCACTAGAACTCCATCATCTTGAAAGATAGCATGATGTAGCAAAAAAAAATTGTGAGTGATCAGTCCTGGAGTCTAATTCTGACTAGGTAGATAATGAGTTTTGTAAATGTGGGAAATGGTTGTGTAAATTTCTCTTCTATTTTCTAATAGGTGAGATGGACTCCTTGAAATAGACAATAGCTGAAGGGCATTCATTGCTAATAGCTAATAGTAGCTATTCTTCCCTTTTACAATCCAGTTGTATCTTATACTGATTATTTGTATCTGTAGAAATAAGGCAGGAAGAATATAATAGCACATTATTCATAGATGTCACAATATTGACAGTTCTTCTTTGGATAAATATCATCATAAAATGCCAACACTTCAGTTAAAGAATGGTTGAAAAATTGAAGCTGTGAAAACTCAGTGTGATATTATGGCACACACATAGGACTTTATGTCATGAAATACATTTCTAAGTCCTATTCTGCCAACAGTCCAATAAGAAAAGTTGAGCAACATGTTCTGAAGTGTTCCATAATAAAATAGATTGAGTAGACTTCCTATGCCAGGCATGACCCCAACCACTTTGCATGTATTGCCTCATTTAATACTCCTAAAAATGTTATGTGGTAAGTACTATACTTACTGAAAGTGTAATAACTGAGAGAGTTAGACAATTTACTCAAGTTCACACTTTTACTAAATAACCTGTTGCCATTGATTTTAACTCCTTGAGATCCTATAAGAGAGATTAGAACTGCCCTATAGGGTTTCCAAGGAGCTGCTAGTGGATCCAAACTGCTGACCTTTTGTTTAGCAGCCGAGGGTCTTAACCACTGCGCCACCAGAGATTCATTAGTAAATAAGGGAGCCACAATTCAAATCCAGTAAACTTGGCCAGAGCCCATGCCACAATGTCATTAAAGGACTCTTTACTATATATACATATTTAAGAGTCAAGTTGAAGCATTTGGAATCTCTATTTCTATGCAGGTACTCCTATGTAAAATTCACATCAGTTGTCCACAGTTTAAAAAGTTTAAACATTGGTCTATGCATGATCAAATGCCCATCTAACAGGTCTCTCCCTGGCAGAGGAATTGTTTGTTTTTAGACTTGTGTGTTAAAGGAACTTAGTGCTATGGATGACATAGCACAGAGAAACAATGTAAAATAATAGTTAAAAGCAAGGTCTCTGTTTCCAGAACCCTTGATGCAAACACGTACTAGTTACGTTCCCTTTGACAAGTGTCTCATTTGTCATGGAATTTAGTAGCCTGACCTGGCAAACGTAGACATTGTGAGTATGTGCTTCATTGTTAGGATCGGAAGTATTTCATACATAAAAGCAGTTTGAAGAGTCCCTGGCATACAGTAAGCATAATGTAAGTATGGTCTTTATTAATAGTGTAGTTTCCTTATTACCCAATATTATTTTAATTGAGGGCTGCTGTTTTCACAGATGAGTTGGAGTTCATCAGTAAACTGTGACTGATTTAGTTTTCCCACTGAATTTACTAGATTTTAAATGAGCTGAATTGGTCACAGGGACTTTTTGAAAGCATTTTATTTTTCCAGTACAAGAAACCTCACCGAAACGTCCTGTGCCTTCTGGTCCTAGATGGCTCACAGGTGGCACCACGTTAACTCTGTGATTAAGAATGTCCGCATGAAACTTCCACGGCACAATTTCACTAGAGATGGAGTGAGAATTATAGCAGTGCTTTCTTAGAGCTGGTCATTTGAGATTTATTCTCTAAGGCTTTGTTTTAACAAGAGCAGTTTGACTCACTCAAGCGTTGTAACTCTGCAAGAAGACAAAATGAAGTCCCAGAGTAAAGAGTGATTAACAGGTCAGCTGCTAAGAGGTCAGCAGTTTGAATCTGCCAGCCACTCTTTGGAAATCCTACGGGGCAGTTCTATTTTGTATTTAAAATAAAAAATTAAAGATACATATTTTATATATATGGCAAACTTATAAATTACACATATGATATTCAGAGTCTCAGAAGCAATGTCTTGTTGAACATAGTTATATGGGTTTAAAAATTTCATTAATTTTTTATCTAAGATATAATGTCATGCCTATCTATAAATAATAAGTTTGTCATACTTACGTTTTGAGCTTGCAAATTTTAATAGAAAGAGGTTCACCTCATATTTTATCTGCTTTCACTCCAGGTTCAAGGTCATTGCTCTAGATCATGAATGCATGAAATCAAGAGTGACAGATATTGGTCGGATTTCTAGCTTTCTGGTGTCCTAATCAAAATCAAGGATCTAAACACATTCTTTAGATATATTCTACAATATCTTTTAGATTACATTTTTACTCAACTGAATTTTCATAGTAAAATGGTAGTGGAAAAAGAAAATTTTTTTGCTTTATATCTTTTTGAATATAATGACAACAAATACATAAACCGTTTATCATAATTTCTCAAAATATGCCA